TGGATTATACATATAATTATATAGATATATAATCCACTTATATATTTATATACTGTTATGGATTGAATTTTTGTGTCATTTCCCATCCCCAAGCCCCAACCAAATTCAAATGTTGAAGCTCTAACCCTCAGTGTGGCTATATTTGGAGATGGGGCCTCTGAGGAATCAATTAAAGCAAATGAGGTCCTAGGGTGGGGCCCTGATTTGATGGGATTAGGGTGTTTATGAGAAAGGACACCAGAGAGCTTCCTTTCCCTCTGTGTTCACACTCACTGAGGGAAGGCCATCTCCCAGCAGGGAGAGAGAGCTCATCAGCTGGGACTTCCAGCCTCTAGAACTGTGAGACAATTAATTTCTGTGGTTTAAGCCACCTAATATTTTGTTGTGATAGCCTCAGCTGACATATACTGTACATGTAATTTCTTCACTCTATATACCAAGCACTGTGCAACTACATACATTTTGTACATAACGGTGTGTACATATATGTGTATTTATAGATAAAAAAACAAATAAAACCACAAATAAATAAGTAGATAAGCAAATACACAGCTGACTGCCTGTCAGGGTAATTTAATACAAATGTTATCCCTTGACCAAACTTTCAGAGTAATACATGTACATTATTCAATGCAATTTGCCATGTGAGCTCATTAACAGGATAAGAAGAGCCGCGACCAGCTCTCCTGCTGTGTGTTTCACTCCCAAACACCAACACACTAGAATTGACCCGCTAAGCAATTGCCTAGTAAAACTCAATCTTTTGTCCAAAAAACACTAAATAGTTCTCCTGACTTTGTTTTATCTAGTTATACAATGTTATTTAGTGCTTTGTGCTCTGTGGGTGCTTAACTAGGGCATTAAACATTCAAGTTGGGAAAATAATACAGTCAGTTGGAATTTTATTTCCACCTATTAAAAATACAGCTTTTAACATTTGGGACTCATTTTGGAGACTGTTGATAACATGTATGGAACTGCTCTGCAAGGAAAGTCATGTTCACATGGGTACCCCTGAATCTGCATATACTTTCATGGGTCTATATCCCTTCCTCAGGCTGGGTCCTCGCAGGATACCTATGTCCCTTGCTAACAGGCACAGCTCCTGTCAGTGGTCCTTGACATACTGCGTCCTCTCTAGGATCTTGTCATTGCTTCCCTTCTGCCCCCTCAGATCAGGGCTGGTAACAGCTTCCTATGTCCCTTGCTAACAGGCACAGCTCCTGTCAGTGGTCCTTGACATACTGCGTCCTCTCTAGGATCTTGTCATTGCTTCCCTTCTGCCCCCTCAGATCAGGGCTGGTAACAGCTCCATCCTTTGTTGTTTTCTACACCCTGACTCCCCTCTTTGTGAATAGTTCTTTCAGTCAGCTCTCTCGGCTCCCTAGTTTAATTGTTCCATCTGATTCCTGCTGGGACCTAGCAATGCAGCCACCGAAATTCATCCGGAAACCCAAAACCACTGCAAGAACACTAACTTAAGAAACTGAAGTCATTCTTTATGAAGATCTTTCAGTTATAATTTTTTACTGCAAAACGGAAGTTAGCATTTTTGTTTTAACTAGTAGAATACTTTTTAAAAGACAATCCTCTATACAAGAATGCATTATTGCATTGAAAAATTCTCATGGAACTCTCCAGGCCTTGCAGCTTGAGAAACACAAGCCTAGCTGGCTGCTGGGCATCACATGGAGGAAAGAATTGAAAGCTTGAGTAAAAGACAGATAAATGGCCTCTGTTGCCTTCCTCCAAGCTACATGTCCCATCATCCTGTCATGGAAGGAAATTAAAATTGTCTGACACACACTGAGCTTCATAAAGCCACACTGTACAGGACCCTGTGTGCCTCTAGATGTTTATACCACAAGGAGGGTTTTTGAGAATTTGATCTATGATCTTCATCTCCATCTTTGAGAGGGTCTCTCTTTGTCTTTTTAAAAAAATAAATGAAGTACATAAATATGTCTTTCTTCAGTCCTCCAAAACTTTTTCTGTTTTCTAAGAATCCTAAAATAATAGCCGGTGGCTCTGTAATGCAATGTCTCCTAAGATGAACAGCTGAAAAGTAAATTTGCGACAGGCTTTATTACTCACTTCTCAATGGTTTCCCCCATTTCTGATTTGTTTTTTGACTTCTCCCAAATAGGTGTCACTCAATCTAGCATCAATTCACATTTATATCTTAAAAACTGAGCAAAGCAAATTGCACTTGAGAACAAAGTCAACCATTAAACCATTTCCCCCTAAAACCTTAAACATGATTTAAATCTTTTTATAAATACAATTTTAAAAATCTTCAAGCAAATAACCTAGAAATCAACAAGCAAATACCATATCATTTGTAGAGAATTTGTCAAGAATCAGCTATCAAAAGGTAGAAATTGAGGATTGTGTCTTTTTTCTAAAATCCTAAAGTTTTTGGAAAATTTATTACTCTCTGCAGCAGCTCTATTATTATTATTTTTATTAAGGTATAATTGGTATACAATCTTATGCTCAGGTTTCACATCAACAACACTGTGATTACTACATTCTCCCCTATTATCAAGACCCCACCACATACCCCATTATAGTCACTGTCCATCACTGTAGTCAGATGCTATAGAGTCTTCTCTGCGCTATACTTCCTTCCCTGTCCCCCCTATATTATGTACACTCATCATAATACCCTTTAGTCCCCTTCTCCCTCCCTTCCCACCCACCGTCCCCAACCCCTATCCCTTTGGCAACCACTAGTCCCTTCTTGGAGTCTGTGAGTGTCCTACAGCAGTTCAGTTATTACCATCACAAAGCAATGTGAACATTCCAGAGTTAGAGAAATCATCTGGTAATCTGATTTGCCCATCCCTTGTTAGAATAGGGAGAACAGATTTTAATTTTTTTTCATCTGAATTAAGGTTCTTTATATTTACATATCCTCCCAACATTGCAACCAATGAAGACTAACGGTGAGGTCAACAAAATGTCACCCATGTCCCACTTACTCTGGGCAGACAGGCAGCAGAGGACCCCAGTCCACTACTCAGACCTGCTCTTCCTTCACGGTCCTGCCTCCTCCTTCCTTCCACTGGGTTTCCAGAGGTCTCACAAGTTACAGAGCCTAAATCAACTCGACGGTTGATTTAGGACTGTAATGCTGTCGTAAATAAATAAATAAGCAAATGATGGAAGAAATATATTTATAAAGGACCTACTCTGGACAAGTCACAATGCTACATATTGTAGGAGAGCAAGACACGGTCACTTCCTTTATACAATTTGCAGCCTGCTAAGCTTGAGACACTGAGACAAATGTGCAGATAGTGGTAATTCCAAAGCTAATCTGATAGTCTCCCAAAGAGAGGTAGAAATAAAAGTGTTTTGAGGAGTCAACAGAAGGAATGATCATGTGAAGCTGGAAGGATGTGAAAAATTTTCTTGGACAAGGTGAATATTTGAGACGAACTTTATTTAAGGGCTGTAATTTTGAAAGAGACTTGAGGGAGTGGGTTGCCATCAAAAAGAAAAATATGAAATAAGACAAAGAAGGAAAATATAGGACATATGACTAGAAGAGCCTTGTTTGGCTGCATCTAGAAAGTTAATCTGGGGTTCTATTAAAGGGGGTCCTAAAAACCAGGTCACGGAGTCAAGGAGATTGGACTCATTCCTAGGAAAGGGGAGTGGCTGAAAGTCATAGAGCAGGACTCTTCAGAAGCTTGATTCGGGGACAGTTAGGGCAGGAAGGTAGAGATAAGTACCAGAACGAGAACCTGAGCCTGGGTGTGCATGACCAAGATTTGGGGTACCTTTCACAGGATCACAAGTTTGGGGGAAGGCAGATATGGATTAAAGATAGGTTCTGGCCACCAAAGACATCATGTTCTCATGAGATTCATCAGCCTCCCTACTTATGGAGGTCAGTGCCTTCAAATTTTCACCTAATAAGTTAAGCAGCTTACATATCTCAGAATAAAAATTCCCTTTTCGTGGTTTCCAGAGTCCTTCTTTTGTTAAACAGCAAAGGAAAGTTCAAACGTGACAGAGTCAGAGCAGTAGCTGAGGGAGAGAGCAGCATACGAAGGGCTGATGAGTGAGCCATGTCAGCAACGAGCTCAGTGTCTGTGCAGATAAAACGCTGCATGACTTTGAAGCTAAGAAAAATTGAGCTTTCCCCAAAAGGACATACATATAAAATGCAATTCATTAAAAAGTAAAGGCTGAATGAAATTCTGATTCACCCTGCAACATGGATACTGGAAAAAACTAAGTGAGATAAGCCAGACACAAAAGGACAAATATTGTATGATTCCACTTACATAAGGAATCTAGAATAGTCAAATGCACAAAGAAGGAAAGTAAAGAGTGGCTACCAGGGGCTGAGGGAACGAAGGGGGAGCTAATGGGTAGACTTCCAGTTTGGGATGATGGAAGAGTGCTGGAGGTGGATAGTGGTAATGGTTGTACAATAATGTGAATATACCTAATGGTACTGAATTGTACAATCGAAAAAGGTTACAATAGTAAATGTTATGGTATAACATTATGGATATTTTAACTCAATTTTTAAGAAGTTCAGGCTCAGGGAGGTGTGTAGTGTGGTTTTTATAATGCCAGATTCGAATGTACTAACTTTTAGAGAGAAGCTTCACACTCGGGGATGATAGAATCATGCCCACTGATTGGCATTTGCACAGGGGCCTGTCTGTTCACAGGGAGTCACATGGCTCCAGGAATGGTGCCTGGTGAGTGAGGAATCACAGCAAAGGGCTTGGGAATGGCAATGGCTACCAGTAGAGAGATGGTTTTGCCTAATAGTCTCGTGTTTAATTTAAGAATAAATGTGCCAAGGAAGCCCCATTCTCTGCATCAGCCAGTCTGGGAACTTTTCCTCAAGTTAGTGTAGCTGACCAAGGTTATTTTCCCAAACACAGTTCATTGGAGTTAGAAATGCAGTGAGAAAATGTGACTAACCCATCAATAGCTATCAGAAAGCATGATTAATTGTAACATATTCCCAGGAGAGAAGAGGAGTGACACCAGAGACTGTTTCTACAGGATCCAAGGCTGGGATTTTAAAATGAAAATTTCCTGCATCGACCCAATATATATTGCCCTTGGTATAAGTGCTTTGGTGCCTCAATGACAGTCGAAGACCGATTAATAAGGCTGCTATTTATCTTTGCAGGTTGACATAGCACATATGGGGCTCTGTAGGATTGAAATATGCTACCAGAAAAAGAAAAAAAAACTGGTATGAAGTGGAGGAAGATAATGAGGGAAAAAGAAAAGGAAATATTGATAGGGAAGAGAGACTAGTACAGAAGGAAGACAGTTGTGAAATAACATTATGAGAAGGAAGACGTCTACTGGGGATTCTGCCAGACAGAAAGCTAATATACCCCGAGGCCCTGAAAACATCTACAAGAGCTGCATGAAATATTTCTGAAGAGAATCAAAACATGCTAGAAAACAAAGAGGGAATTTAAAGCCAGAGTGGTGACCCGAGTGGATACCTGGATACCTGGAGGCTTGGCTTTAAGGCTCATGTAGACATGAAGCCTCATTTTGAGTGAGACAAAGTGTTGGAAATAAGACCCAAGAGAAAAAACAAAATGTGCCCACCTGCACAGAAGATCCTGGTGAATCTTCTCTATCTCTGTTTAGACAACCAGTGGGGAAAAGTCATATAATTCCCTGAGAAATCCGAACTCCATGCCTGATCCTTATTCAGGCTTGGAGTGAATTTTTTATTATATTCCAGGAAACCCCATTTCAAAATATAAATAGAAAATTTGGTTATGAAACAGAGATGCCTCTGGTACTCTACCCATAGGTAAACGCAAAACCACATTGTGGAACAGAGACATACCTAGTAGGCAGGGGGTTCTCACAAAAATAACAGCCTCACGACAATGAGCTCATGATAAAAAAAAAATCACAGAATCAGCAAGTAACAACATATTTTTAAACAACGATAAAGAGAATTTCCTATACTTGGATTCTTGCTGACAGAACAACTAATTGAAGGATGTACTTCAGGGGGAAAAAAATTGAACTCAGAAGAACACATAGGATGCAAGAAGCAGTGGTGAGCAAAGAAACTGGTAAACATTGAAAAATCAATTTGGGGGATTAAAAAAGCAGTACTAGCTAACATGAAAGCAGAGAGCTGACGAGTGGCCAGCTGATGGGTCCTAAGGGCCACCTTAACTGGGAAAGGGAGTAAAGGTTTGGGATGACATTAGGCTCTATTAAATTATTTGTGTGTATTAAAATATAAGGACTATCATCCAAAGAACTGAAATTGAATGTTAACTTTCCAAACAATTAGAGGGGGAAAAATTAAGGAAAACTTGATTAATGTAGTAGAAAGATGAAAGGGGAAGAAAAATAAAGAATAGGAGTTGCATGGTAAGCAGGGAATAGAACATAAGGTGATGGAAATAAATTGAAATGTACTAGTAACCACAGTAAAGGTAAATGAACTCATCAGTTAAAAGGCGGAGGCTATGAGATGGAAAAGTAAAACAAAACCCAGCCATCTTCCATTTATGTGAAAACTTCTAAAGTATGATGGCATAGAAGTTGAAAGCAGAAGATAGACAAAAATATACCAGGTTTATATTTCCAACAGAGTAGGGAACTGGGTATTATACAAATACCTCTGCCACCCCAAAACCCCCAGATCTGGAGAAATCACATAATGACACTTTAAAAATGTCTTAAGATCACAAGGAATTAGGGGAAATAGAGGAAACCCCAAACCATAGAGGTAGGTGAACACAAATACAGAAACTGGTGCTGCTCCAGATCAGGGGTCAGAAAACTACAGCCTGGGAGCCAAGCCCAGTCCACCTCCTGTTTTTATAAAGTTTTATTGGAACCTGGCCAGACACGGTGCTTATATATTGTCTCTGGTGGCTCCTTTTGCACTACGACTGCAGAATTGAGCAGTATCAGCAGAGATCAGATGACCTGCAGGGGTGAAAATACTTACTATCTCCCCCTTTATAGAAAAAGTTTGCTGCCCCCTGCGCCAGGGGCCCAGAGGCATTGGGGATTCATGGGGCTGCTAGGGTGCCATAGGATGAGGCATAGAAACAGAATCCCAGGCCTGCAGCCTGAGCGACTCTACCCCTATGCAAGTAGGGGTTGAGGGAAAATCTGATTCTTTGCAAAGGACATGGATGAGGAAACCTGCTGGCCCATGACCCTGCATTAGATGGGGGTTTCTCTGAGGTTGGCAGCCGTTGTGTGGACTCACACTGCCTGCTGTGCCCACTATATCAGCCCGCTGGTTCAGAGGTCCACATCCATGGGCATTTTCTCAGCCCCCTCCAGCTGAGTGCTAAATGAGGTGTCACCAGCATTTCCTCCCTGTTGTTTCTGTGCATTTTTTCACTCATTCTGCTAGACTCTTCTGTGGTCTAAGTTAACTCCCCAGGTAATAATTATTGTCTAGTGTTCTGGTGACTAAGTTGCGTATGTTTGGAGTGATCTGTCCTTAATCCCAGGTTGCTTGCTTCCTTGCTGTTACTTTTAATGCATAATATCACAGTGTGCAGGATTTACATATATGTTATATATACATACATACACACACACACACACACACACCCTGTAGTTTTGGGAAGACTTGAAGGCAGTGAAAACACCCAAATTCAGATGTTTTAAATTGAAGTATAAATTGTTTCATTTAGTAATGTGTTTGGGTTTATTTTTTAGCAGAATGATAACAAAAGGAACTAAACGTTTTCCCTAAACCTATAGATTGCCCCATGCCTGACGATGGTCCTCATTCCTGAGAGCTCTGTGTGCTCTTGCCTAGGCATTCAGTTACGGGAGATTTGGGGCAGTGACTCAACCATGGCAGGTCCAACACGGGGCCGGACCAGCATTGACTTCATGCGGGAGAAGACACTGAAAAATAACAGACTGGGTTTGGTGCTGTTCAAAACTGGATGGTTCTTTGAAGAAGGCACTGATTGCCAGCTTCTGATGGGTACTCAGGGCAAATGAGCCACATCAGGAGGAAGGGATTTTTCATTTTTCCTGGAACCACCTCCCAAAGCTCCCCTTCCCTGCCCCCTCAGTATTCCTGGGAAGACTCTAAAGGAGGGGAACAGCTTCAGCCCTTGGGGTCTGACAGAGTCGGAGCCTGGCCAGGTAAAAGAGGCACGTGGGCTCTCTCCTGGATGCAGGCCGACTGGAGGGCCACCACACGTCACAGCAGGCAAGCCAAGGGCAATGGTGGCTGCTCAGAGAGCTGGCCTACCATCAGTCTGGTATATTTGTTTGTTATTTCTCTGATCATAATTCCCTTTTAGTCTCCAAGCCTTCAATGAATCTTATAAATTGCTACAGGCTGGTCATAGCTATTAATGTGTGGAGTTAAGGAAATTCCCTGTTTTCATGTGTAGAGCAAAGCTCACAGAGAGAGAACACAACTGCTTAGGGGAGGCCAAATATGAGATGACAAAAGATGATCTTTGAGATTTGGGTTGTTGGTTCAAGACAAGCTTCAACCAGGACACATTTGTGTAACATGTAGGCATTTCCAGAAACATGTGTAGAAGAAGAGAAATAGGTAAAAACACAGGATGGTGTTTATGGCAAAACTACTTACATATAAAAAGGAAGTAAGATTTTATTCTATAGTCACTAGCTGGGAAGATATTTGGCGCATGAAAAGATCCTGGGAAAGAAGGTTTGTAGAACAGACCTTAGAAACAATGGCTTAAGGTAATAATCGCTCTCCTAGAGGATTCACATTTTCCCAAGTGCTTCACTATTGAAAGGAATTTAGCATCTATTCCAGGTAATGGGAGATGAGGTATAGGGGGATTACTAGGGGACTTTCTCAGCACCTCTTAAGTCACACTGTTATGGTACATTTGATTCTATATCCAGGGGAAAAACCCAGGCCAGAGTTGCCACTACCTGAGTCGTGGCTACCATTTTTATCTATATGCCACACAGTCTACTATAAAACTCGTTCTATCCCTTGACAAGCCTTTACACCCATCCAAACAGGCCTATTTTCTCTTTTCTGTTCCTTTTACTTCCTAGCTCTCTCATATCTCTATGCATAAGGTGGAAACGGATGGTGGACACCCCCATGTCTACTGCCTTTTACTTGTATTTTTTTTGTAATTATATGAGATGACTTATCTCCTCAGCCATAGCCATATTCTTAGCATGCCTTAGGAGGAGACGGGATTTACTTCTTAGCTGAGCATCCCATATAAAGACAAAACCCATACAGTTCACCCATCCATCAATCCATCCAGCCATTGAGTGAAAAAAAACCTTTCCTGAGAGTCCTACCCACCGCACGCTGGCTGGGTGTTGCCCATCACAGAGGATAGTTTATGAATGTTCTGGAACCATTAGATTCCCCAGCATCTGATACACAGGACCACTTAAAATATTCAGCTGTAAAAATTATTATTATAAAAATCACACAAGCTTATGGAAATATTAAAACAGTAGAGGGGGCTGTAAGGAAAACTAAAACTTCCCTGGTCACGTCTCCCCTAACTTCACACTCCCGTTACTCCAAAGTGACAGCTGCTCGCGGGTCCTTACACACCGTTCCAGAAACGGGTATTCTTTTTCTTACATAAATAGGATCGTTCAATATGCATTCTTCTGTTGTTGCTCCCTGCCCCCCAACTATGTGACGAATCTTGATTCTTTTTCCGTATCAGCCCGTGTAACTGTCCTTGTTATTTTTTTTAGTAGCTTCATTGAAATTTAATTCACACACCATAAAATCACCCATTTAAAGTGCATAGTTCAGTGGGTTTTGGAATATTCACAGAGTTGTGCAGCCATCACTATAATTCTCATTCTTTTTAATGGTGGGAGAGATTTTGCTTTATCTTATGCTATAATTTCAGCAAATATTTATTAAGTTGATTTAAACCATACATTTGGACTGAGAAAGTGGGGTGTGGGGGTGGGAAGCAAATTATCTAAAAACATACAAATAAAGAAGTTCTGAGGCTTTTGCTGGTCTTTTAAGCCCATTTTAAGTAATTATGTCACACAGCCATAACAAAAGGGATGAAGAAATAGTCTCTTCACATTATCTGGATCTTTTAAGGTAACAGGGCCCTAACCCATGAGGACAATACATTCATGTGCACTGTGCTGGATTTCCTTCAGCAAGTCAATTATTGTCACTTCCAAATAATGTTTTATCTTATGTTAGGAAGTTCAAAAATAAATGTCACTTTTATTAAGCTGCCCAAACTAAGTATGTTCATATTTCAATAGTAAGAAGGCATTTTTTGCAGCCTTTGTTTTGAATTTACTGTGAAGGTATGCATTTCAGATTAATACAGTATTTATAAAATGTCTAAAGAAATGTAGGCAAATTTCTTTTTGAAATGATTTATAAATATTAGGAGGTTTCAGCATATGTGGTGCTAAGTAATATTGACGTGTCTGGAAAAACGTGTGAAATAGAGGGAAAATAATGCGACTACTCTTTCTCCGCACTTACATTCCCACATACAAAATCATACGTTCTCTCAGGGGAAAAAAAGGATTTGGTAAAATCAACAAGGCCTACAGTGACATTAAAGCGTGCTTTTTCTGAATCAGGAAAAGGAATGAAAAAACTTGGACTCAAATACTGTTGAAGGCAGCAAAGACAAAGAATGTGAGCACTTGAAAGTATAAAAAGAGGAATTGTTATAGAGGTTAGAAAACCTCTTTTCAGAAATTTTTAAAATATGACAAAAACAGG